CACGACTCAATAGGGTATTCACCATTTTACCTTATGTATAAAAGACTACCCTATCTTCCAATTGATGTAAAGTACACAAATGTACTCAATAAGGATAACTACAATCCTGTATATGATAAAGAAGTTTTACAAAAAGCTTTACAAATGAAAAGAGGACTTGAAGAAAAAGCCATGACCAATATTGCTTGTGCACAAAAGAAACAAAAAATTGACTATGCTAGAAAGCACACAACACCATCAAATTTTTTTTTGGGTCAAAAAGTACTATTGAGAAATCTAAAAAGAGAAAATAGAAAAGGTGGGAAAATGACTTTCTCGTGGCTTGGTCCATATGAGATACTTGATATTTTGTCAAACTCGACATGTTTATTAAGAAACATTAAAGGGAACAACACAATAAAGAAACAGTACTCTCTACATCATGTTAAACCATTTGTTGAAGAGAAAAGTAACTCAAAATTGCATAGTTTAACTTCTGAATGCAATGATCAGGATAAAAGTCAACGTAATTCCAAATTAATGAAACATCCCACCAAAGAAGTTCTCCAAAAAATAGCTGAAGAACAAGGACTTAAAATATTTATAATGCCAGATCTTTTTGATGGAGAAAAAAATGATGTACCTTAAAAAATACATGTTTGCAAAGGTGATGGCAATTGTTTTCCAGCATCCATGAAACTCGACACTAAAAGCTTTGTAAATGAAATTATGTTTAAACTGAATTAAAATGATGTTCGTATATCAGTTGTTTTACAATGTTGTTTGTTATAAAAAAATAATTTGCTCAAGGTTGCATATTCTTTACAACTTAAAAAAACTTAAATAAACTTTTTTGTAATAAAACTCTACAGAAGTGATTTTATGGATCGCTAGGCTATTTAATTTTATTCTAAGATTAGATTTTGTCGCACAATAAAGGAAAATCGCTTTACTTGATGATAGTAAAATTATAACGAGCGCAGTAAAATTATAACGTTAAAATATTACTGCCTCAGTAATATTTTAACGTTACTATTTTACCGCAAAGGAAGTTTGAATGGTTGAAGACTTCCGCGCAGTAAAATTTTTACGCGGTAATTTAAAAACGCTACAACGGATATATTAGTGAGTTAACACGATGTTACAAGAAGGAGTTTCTAAAACGCCGAATTCTAAAAAGCCGAAACGCCGAAATGCCGAAAAACCTTCTAGCAGAAACTGAATAAAAAAAGGAACGAAAGCAATGAAAAACCGGTAGCATATTTTGAAACCCTATACAGGCTCAGAATAGGCAGAAATATGAGCAATCCGATTCGCTGATTTTGAAAGAGAGGCGAGTGCGCTTTATTTAAAAATATATTTAAAATCTAAACAGATTTTAAAATAAATTTCATAGTAATGATAAACTAAGTTAATGATAAACTAAGTTTGTCAATACAAGTCTTGAGTTACTATCAACATAGAGATTTTATTTTATTATTCTTTAGAATATTTAAAAGGTATCAAAATCTATTTGTAACAGAGAATTTTCACTCGTAAAAATCTCCAAGTTTCAATAAAGTTTATCTTGGTGATGGAGGAAAATATGTTCTTGGCCTTAAAGCATAATCAAATACAAAGTTTATATACAGTTGTACAAGACTACTTGTGAAGTACTTTTGCATATGAAGATTGTATGCAGTTTTACCAGACTACTGATGAAAAACTTTATTTATAAATTGATTTATACGTTAATTAAAAATAGTTGAATATTAAAGTTTTTAAATAAAGAAAATTTGTATTGATTGCAAAACTAGCTTACATGTTCCATGTCAATATATGAGCTTTGAGGAGGTTTTGTTTTCATGTTTTGTTTCAACTATTGTTTGTAGGAGACTGATTTACTTTTTATTGCATAACTCTAATAAAACATCATCTTAAACCATTAAATATTTTTTAAAAATTTAGAAAAATTTTGGCAGGCAATATTAACTGTATGTATAAAATGTTATTTGAAAATTTAACAACAGAAGTGAAATTTATATCTTGATCTACTGAACAGTAATTTTTTGTGAAGTTACATATAAACAATAAAATTAAAAGCAAGAAAAAGTATTGAAGTCAAATATGTTAACCAAATAAAAAAAAGAACAAAATCAGTTGTCATGCTATGATTATTTTTGTTATAATAAAATGTGTTTTGCATGTATAAACTCTTAAAATATTTAACTTGAATTTGCATGTGTGCAATTTTGCAAGATTTCTAAGTGTGTTTTTCGTCAAATGTCTATGTTCTATAAAGCATGGTCAATACAAAGTTTATATACAGTTGTACCAGACTAATGGTAATGTACTTAAAGTATGCAAAGTATAAATTTTTAGCTGAGGCAGAGGTTGTTTTATGCTCGTTACTTCATCTTTACACTGTCTTGTTAATTATAAATAGTTAAACATTTAGACTAAAAAAAAAAATTTACTGATATTTTACCAAACTAGCTTACATGTTCCATGTAAATCTACGAACTCTGAAGAAGTTACTATTTAAGCTAAATATTGAGAAGGCTGATAAGACATACATCAATATTTTTCTTTACTTAACTTTAATAAAACATCATCCTTAAACTTTCAAACACTTTGTGAAAAATTAAAAAAAGTTTGGCAGGGTATTTTAACTTATATATATAAATAGGATGAAAATTGTATATTAATAATCATTTGTTTTTCTACTGAACAGTTCTTTTGTTCAGTTACATTTAAGCGTTGATAATACAAGCTAACAAAGAGAATTGAAGTTAAGCAATTTAACTAAATTAAGGTGAATTATGGCAATTATTGTAATAAAAGAACTTGATTAATACAAGGTTTTACATTTGAAGAAGCAAGTTTTCAGAAAAAAAAATAATAATAATATTACTTCAAGATAAAACATAACACATCTCTATTTTTAAATTGTTATACAAGAGGTATTCACAGAAATTCAAAAAAAAAGCACACTTGATTTTATTGGTTATTCCAAAGATTACAAAATAAAACCATTAATAAAATTTGGAAACTTGAAAGATAAATATTTCTGCCAAGAAAAATGAAAAAAAAGTGTTTTTTTTTTCATTTTTTTAGAGAAGATATTTTTTTTTCTTCAGGAGTATGTAATGTAAAATAAATTAATAGCATAATAAATAAAAAATTTATCAAACTTTGTTGCTTTATTCAATTTTATTTACCATCAGTTGCTATTAAAGAGTAATTGTTTTTTACCAATTATAGAATACAATAATCAATATTTTGTTCAGGTTAAAAGCTATATATCAACAAACATGTGCTTTATATATCTTTTAAAATTGAAATAAACAACAACATGAACTTGTATTTTTGCAATTTTTTTTGCTTTTACCTTTTTACACTTAGCTCAACATAAAGGTGTGGTAAGTTAAGAGTTGTTCATTTTTGTAATCAGTTTACTATATCAAAACACACTTGTGGACATCAGGTTATAAATTATTTCTTATAGCTTATTATGCTACAATGTTTTGTCTTTTCTTATCTTTTATTACTATACATTACCAAAGCCAATCTAAATCAGCTTTTGTTTACAATTGCTATTAATTTGAGAGTGATGTAAATTATCTGGGCTAATTTTAAACTAATTTTTTTATATCTTTTTTTTTTAAGAAAATAAATACACTATATTGTACAAAATTGGATAAAAGAATCCTTTTTTTTTTTTTTGTCATTATTATTTGGCAATTACTATTTCACTTTTATTATTCAATACGTTTTTTGACGTTTGTCTTGACAACGTTTTTTGACATTTGTTTTTATTTAAACTTACGCGCAAAAGCCTCTCTTTCAAAATTGGCGAATCAGATTGCGCATATCTCTGCCAATTCTGAGCCTGTACAGGATGATGCACCCCAAAAACCAAGGCACCTCAAAAACAACGCGGTCAGTTAAAAGGCTCTAAAAATTTAAATATGCATTTTAAAACCATATGAGAAATTTTTTCTCATAAAGGAATGTTTCAGCAACAATTAAAACAAAAGAAATCAATATTAACAATAAAGGAGTTTTTTTTTACAACCGTTTTAAACTTAAAAAGTGCTGAGAAAAATAATTGAGTTTTAAGTAATATTGCTATAAAATATTGGTTTTTTAGACTAAGTTTGCAAATCCCATCTAGTTTGCTTATCTTTTATATGCTATTTACATAAATCAAACCATTTTTATTATAAGTAGAAGGGAAACTTGTAAAAAAAAGTTTAAAAATTACATTTTAACATGTGGTTTTTGGGGTGCGCTAAGAAAAAGTTAAAAAAAAAAAGTTTATCCAGAACAAGTCTTTACAACAAATTTAAAACAAATAGTTCATTCAATAAAAAAGATTTTGAATATCACAGTTATTTCTTTCTAGCAGCTGCAGATAAAATCATTTCTGGGTTTTTTCCATTTACTTTGCAGTTTGCTTTGCTGCAAATGGACCGCATTATATTGAGGCAGGTTGGACACTGCTTTAAGCCAAAAGCTTTACATTTTATCTCCTCGCAATAGCATTGAAGCTTACATGTTATAAAGAGTCTTGTAACTTCCTCTTTCTTTTTTGCAGCATTTTTTTTTTTTCCTTTTCTTTTTCTTTTTTTCTTTTTATGCTTTCAACTAGAGTTATTATATCGCTTACAGTCATTGATCCATGTACTTGGGTAACACGTGTTGCATCTTTTGTTAATTTTGGCTTTATCTTTTTGGTTGTCATAAAACCAGGTATTTCTTCCAGCTGAATGCTCTTTTCATGAAGTTCATCAATCAACTCCATCGCTTGTTCAAATTTTGATTTCCAATAATTTGCTGAACCACGTCTTTTATCCGACGAAGAAATTAGTGGAGAAGTCTGTTTTTCTGGTTCAATACAGTTTTCTGCTCGTTCGAATTTGACTTTATGCATAAAATCAACACTCAATGCATTTTCGGCAACACCAACCCTTTTAGCAGATTTTACAAGCGTTTCTTTGGTTGTTCACTTGTCCCATATATTAGCTAAAACTAACATAAAAGCTTCTTTGTTTAAGGAACAGATATCAGAAAACATAGAGTTTTTTTGCTTACGATACTCACTATGAATGTTCTTGTTTACTTGGTCAAGAAGTTGAGTAACTCCTGTTGTGTCTGGTGGAGTAAGAAAAAGATGAATTCTTTTGGACTCCAAAAAAGATAATACATCAAAGTCTAGTCTAGAGCTATGTCCATCTGATAATAAGACGATGGGTCGCTTAACATATTTTCATTTAAGTAGACATCAAACTCTTTCAATGCTGTCAAGAAAGATTCATAGGTTGATACTCCATTATCTGTAGTTGTGACCAACAAATGGGGAATTTTATTTACTGCTTCTGTTGGAACCATAGAACTAGTAATACCAGTACATTTAAATATTACCTGACACATACATATGTCGCCTAAAAATAAAAAATAAAAAAGTTTTTTAATGCTTGTATTTATTTATATTCAATTTTTTCTTGAACCATAACATATTATAGCATACCTGAAAATGAAACAAATGGTTGAATTGTGACACATTCTCTGTTTTCTCTATACATTCTTTGACATGCATCTCCTTTGCCAGCATAAAATAATCTAGAAGTGGTACCATCAATTCCATAATTAATAAAATGAGGTGTTTCATCACAATTAAATATTCGGCATGTATCAACAGTGCCATTCCAAACCTCTGTTTCAATCATTTTTTCATTTATCATAATACCAACATCTACTAGTTCTTTAGCAAGGGAATCTGAAATAATGTTATTATAGGGAAATGAACAAATTAAAAAAAAAAGTACATTCAGATTTATGAATTTATATTTGTTCATTAATAACTTACCTAAATGATTACATGCCATTTCTCTTGAACAATTAAGTGCACGGTTTATCGAGACACTCCCTTGGCGTTTGATTGTAAGGCTGCTATGTTTAGCATTAAAACGAAGCCAAAATGATCCAAAAGCCAAATCTATAAAATGGAATATTTACATAAAGAAAAGAGTCATATTACCCGTCTTACATACTTTTATAGGATCATTGTAGATTAAATGAATTCAATTAAACTTACTTTCCCTTTTCTAGAGCAGCTCGAGCATTTAATGATAACTTTTGAAACTTCCGTCCACCTTTAATTTTTGTATTAGTGTAATCTCTCACACGAAGCACATTAATAATTAATTTGGTTATGTCCTGTTTGTCTCCTTCCATTAAATTTTTTGCACCAATTTATTGCAGCTTCTAACTGTTTATTTTTATCATTTGTGTGTTTTCTGGCCACTATGGCATCAGCTTTAGTACTGAGATTTCTTGATTTGTTTATACGTAGATGTAATGCAGATGATGGTTTCATTTTACTTTATAATATTATATTAAACAAAATTCTAAAACAACAAAAAACATAACATAGTTCAATGGTAGTATTTCCACAATACATTAACTTTTTTTTTTTTTTTTTTTTTATGATGACAAAGAGCTACTATCTTAGAGTACATCCTAAAATTTTTTTATTGAATTATTTTATATATTTTCTAAAATATTCAAATAACCAACGTGGTTTTTGGGGTGCACATGATGTGGTTTTTGTGGTACATTGAAGTACATCCTAAAAATTTAAGTTAGCAATGATACAATCATCCTAAGACTAATTTATTATAACTATCTTCTACAAAAAATCATGTCTTAATTCCAAATAGTTTGGATTTTATAGCCAATTTTGTCAATGTTGTTTTTGGGGTGCATGAAAAAAAGTGTGGTTAACTTCAACATTCTAGAAAAAGAACTCAAGCGAGACTTAAAAAACCATACCTACCAGGAAGAACCCTATTTAGGCTTATCTTTCAGAA